AAATACTCAAAGAGGGCCAGCCAGATAGCTCAGTGGATTAAAGCACCTGCTTAGGCAGGCTGCAGGGACCGGGATTCGATCCCTGCTGTGCCATGCCAGCCCCACCCCCAGGGTGTGCTGAGAAGGCAATCAAGACTGGGTGTGGTGGCATGTGCCGTGATCCCAGCGCTTGAGAGGCTGAAAACAGGAGAATCACTACGAGTCCAATCTACGTAGTGAGACCCTGTAGACCCTGTACTAAATACATCTTAAAAAAGAAAAAAAATTCTCAAGGGTATCTTAGGAAGAGAAAATGAAGCTAACAAGGCACAAGCACGTGCGCGCACACACACACACATCCAATTAAACAAATGTACCAAGAAGGATGTGCAATTAAGTAGAAGGAAAAGAGAACCAGCAGTAGGAAAATAATAGTGACCAGAATAATTCAACATATATCAGGTATAACTGCCAACACTGAGCGGTCTCAATTGGCCAGTCAAAAGGCACAGACTGACAGAATGGAGAAAGAAAGAAAATCCAATTGTATGCTCTACGCAAGAAACACATTTAACCATGAAGAAGCGTATAGACTACGCAAAGCTGCAGTCATGGGTGCTGGAGACCTCTTTGTTCATTGCCATTGCAGCTGGTGGGAAGCAAATGTTATTTTCGAAACCTACTGGCTCCAGCAATCCCCTTCCCAGTGCAATGGCAGTCCCCAGTTGCAACAAGAACAATGTCAGAGCAGGCTATAAAACATGTAGCTACCCAGGTTCGCTGACTTTCAAGTGCTACAATTTTCTCCACCTAGACCCAAAAGGGATATAGTTTTAGATGTCAGCAGTACAAGCAGTGAAGACAGTGATGAAGACAACAAAGAGCTAAATAAATTTCAAGCATTACAGGAAGAAAGAATGAAGAAGAGGAGAAGAAAAAAAAAAAGTAAAGAGAAAATCAAACTGAAAAAGAAAAGATTTTATTCTAGTTTCACTGAAGACTCTTCCAAACAAAAGAAACAAATATCAGAAGAAAAGAAAAAAGAAAAACAGAACAAATAAAAAAAAGAGAAACATCACAAAAAGGAAAAAAAGAAGAGAAAAAAGAAAAGGCATTCTTCTACCCCTGATCATTTTGAATTCACAAAAAAAGTAACTGAGACTTCAGCCTAAATCATTAAATTTAAAAAAACCATCTTCAAAAAGGTCTCTCCTTTGGATATTGCTATATAATTACACTTTGCAATATACGCCAACCTCTTCCACATACACAATTTTCATTAGTGGGACCATTATCCCTCTGGCTGTGTGTGTTTACCTAAGTCTTGTTCCTTAACAGCCATGCCCCAGTATAGATATTTGTGCATACAGAGCACATTACTTTTGGCATTTGTATCTCTATTTGGCTGGTGTTATTACTTCGTAAGTTGGTCTTAAGTGGCCCTTGTACAGTAAATGCAATCTATTTGTTAGTGAATATTCCTGAATCAAGTGTCCACCTTCTAGCAATGAAGCTAGGTAGGGGTAATGATTTGTTGTTGATGCTGAAAAGTTTAATAGGTTTTTATACTGTGATATAATATATAAACATAGTGAAATTCCTTACTCTGGTTTGTAAATCTCTAGGCCTTCAAAATTATAGTAGAGGGGGCTGGAGAGATGGCTCAGTGGTCTAAAGCACCTACTTAGAACAAGCTTGGCAAAGCATCAGGGACCGCGGTTCAATCCCCCAGCACCACATGCCAGCCCGCCCGCCCCCTGGTGGGCTGAGCTGGCCACACACACACACACCACTCTCTCTCTCTTTCTCTCTCTCTCTCTCTCTCTCTCTCTCTCTCTCTCTCTCAAATAAATAAAAAAATTAAAAAAAAAAAACCATTTCAAAATTATAGTAGATAAAACTGCTTTACTAGTCATGGCACCTACAGGAAGATAATAATAAAAATATACATAACAAAAAATACATATAAACTAGAAATCAAAGGACTGTAAACAATATTCTATGCAACAGAAACATGAGAACAAGCAGGACAGCTATCCTATTTTCCGACCAAGTGAACTTTAACCCAAAACTAAAAAAAAAAAAAAAAAACTACTTTTTTTTTTTTTTTTTTTTCATTTTTATGTACTTGGTACAGGGTCTCACTACACAGCTCAGACTCATATTGATCTTCTTCTTTTCAGCCTCCCCAGTGTTGGGATTACTGGCATATGCCACTGGTGGCTGACTCAGCACACCCCAGAGGTAGGGCTGGTGCAGCAAGTAGGACCAGGGATCAAAGGAACTACATATTGACATAGGGAGCTATTTAACAAGAAGAGATTAAAAGTATAAATAAATATGTACCAAACAACAGCATACTTCACTTCATTTTTTTAAAAAAGCTACTGGACATAGGAGATCAGATAAACATCAATAAACCATTATACCCCACTATCACAAATAAGTCAACCAGACCAAAAAAAGTTGAAACAAACCTTCAAAATAATGGACTTAATAGATATATACAGTGTTCTACTTGACCAAAACAGACATTCCTCTCAATAGCACATGAAATAATTCTCCAAAATAAACCATATATTAGTCAATAAAGCATGTTCGAGTAAATGCAAAAGAATTTAAATTGTATCATGCATATTACTAGATCACAGTGAATAAAACTAAAACCTAATGACAAAAAAATCCCAGAAATTATGCAAATGAATGGAAATTAAACAACACACTTGTGAATAATTAATATGTGACAGAGGAAATCAAGGAAAAAAGAAGATAGTTCCCAGAATTAAATGATAATGCCAGTACAGCACACCAAAACATATGGGACACAATGAAAGCAGTCCTAAGAACAAAATTCATGGCTGTAAATGCCCACAACAGAAAAACAGTAAGCCCAAATAATCTAATGATGCACCTCAGTGTCACTGAAAACTAAACCAAATCTAAAAGTAGCACAAGGAAAGAAATTGTAGCAATCAGAGCAGACATCAATGAAATACAGACTGAAAAAAAATACAAAAAAAAAAAAAAATCGAATCAAAGAGTTGGTTCTTTGAAAGAAAAAAAAAATAGACAAAACCTTAGTCAATCTTACCAAAAATGGAGACACAAGTCCATACAATTAAAAATGAAAAAGATAAAATCCCAACAGACACAACTGTAATCCAGAAGATTATTAGCAACTACTTCACAAACCTCTATGCCAACTAGAAAACTCAGAAGAAATGGGTAGATTCCTATACACATATGAATTACCAAAACTGAACCCATATAAAAACCTTGAATAATCCAGTAACACGCAATGAAACTGATATAGTAAAAAATACCTACCAAATCAGGTCCTTTGGATTCACTGTCAAATTCTCCAATTCTACAATAACTTCTGGGAAGATCTAATGCCAACACTTCCAAACTCTTTAACAAAATCAAAAGGGAAGGAGCACTGCAAAGTCACTCCTGGAAGCTAGCATTACCTTGACTCCAAAACCAGAAAAGGATCCAAGCAAAACAACAACTACAACAACAACAACAACAAAAAAAAAAAAAAAACCTGCAGGACAATGTCTTTAATGAACCTAGATGCAAAAATTCTGAATAAGATACTGGCAAACAGAATGCAAGAAAAAAAATAAGGTCATGACAAAAATAGTAATCATTATGTATGGCAAATACATACCAATAAAAAAAAAAAAAAAAGAATAAAGCAAATGAACACTCAACCAAAAGAAATCTAAATTAAAAAATCATCACCACAAAGATTATACCTCATGGCCACGGCAGCTTCATCGTTGGGATGCAAAGATGCCTTCTAGTTTAACCACCTCCCTACTTAACAACTGCTCAGAGGCACATATGTGGTTTGGACTTACAACATGCTGTGTGTGTGTGTGTGTGTGTGTGTGTGCGCACTGCTACACATCTTGTTTATAAAGCCTCAATTTTTTGGTACAGTATACCTTATTTATACAATATCGTAATTTCTACTTATTGTACTGTATAGTACAGTATTATAATTTTATGTTGCTACACATTACTATATTTCATGGCAAAACTTATGAAAATAAAAGAAAAACTGTCACATTGGAGTTTCCTCTGACCATTTCTTTGTTCTGAATATTGTAACATACTATACACAACTTCTCATTTAACAACAAATTCATCTAATGACCTAGTCACAAGAACAGTAGTTGGTTGTTAAAGTGAGGAATGTCCATAACTCAGGTCAATAAATTTAATCCATCACATAAATAGAAGGCAGCACAAAAGTAACACAATCATTTCAACAGACACAGAAAAAGCCTTTGAAAAATCCAATGGCCACTCATGATAAATCTCAAGAAAACAGGTATAAAAGGTCCTCATCTTAATCTGATAAATGTTATTCATGACCAGTCTACTGTCAACACCATACTAAATGAGGAAAACTGAAAATTTTACCTCTACAATCAGGTAAAATCAGGAATAAGAAAAAGATGTCTTCTATCACCACTCCTATTCAACATAGTCCTCAAAACATTAGCCAGAGCAATTAGACAAAAGAAAGAACTAAAAGGCATACATATACGAAAGACAGATGACATGCTTCTCTATATACAAGACCTCCAAAATTCTACCAAACCCTTCCCAGAATAACCAAATTTGGCAATGTAGCAGGAGATAAATCAACAGGCAAAACTCAGTAGCCTTCATCTACAATTGTAAGGAATTAACAGAAAAATTTAGGAAAACAATACTAGTTACAATAGCAACAAAAAAAAAAAAAAATTAAATACTTAGAAATTAATCTAACACGGGCTGGGGAGTTAGCTCAATAGAATAAGTGCCTGCCTGGCAAGCGCAGGGTCCTGAGTTCAATCCCCTGTACCACCAAAAAAAAAAAAGAAGAAGAAAAGGAAAAGGAAATTAACCTAACAAGGAAATGAAAGACATCCACAATACAAATTTCTTAAATCTTAAAAAACAAATCAAAGAGAACATCAGAAACTGGAAAGATAACCCTTGTTTCTGGCTACGAACTGCTTTACCTCTTTGTGTTTCATATCCAACTGACTCCTAAGGGTCTTCAGTTCCCGATCACGGATGTCCAGACAAGTTTCCAGAGCATGTGTCTGCCCTTCCCATTCAGACTTTTTATGAGCCACCATTATATCAATCTGTTTCATGAGTTCTTGTAGTTCTGCTTCACAGGATGTCAAAAATCCCCTATAAAAAAGAATATATCATTAAAAATCCAGAACATATGTCCAAGAACTTTTCCATCTTTCATATATAAAAATATTGTAGACTAAACCTACCTGAAGCAGAACAATGTCAATTAATAAATTATCAGAAGAAAAGAACAGGATTTCTGAGCTTTTACTTTTAACATGTTCACAGTGGGGCTGTAATCTGTTATGTCTTGTTGCCAAACAGCTTGAACCACTGGTAGTAGATGCCTGACTGTCCCAACATGCAGATTTTTATTAATTTTATTAATAAAAAGACCAATAAAAGTGATTAAATCCATTATCACCAGTGGTACAAGCCCCCTGATGGTACAATCATGCGAGTACCCCCATAGGTTCAAGCCAGGAATGTGACAATGCTTATATTAAAATTATGTATTCCTTTGAATATTTTTTCTTCCTCTGATGAGCAACTGCAACCTAAAGCATAAGGCACTAGATCAAACACGAGACTGATGTTTTAGATCTGGCTTACACAATGAGATTTCCATAACTAGTTCTTACAATATTTTAGGGAAGCTGTCAGGAACCCTCCAAGGAAGTCTATGTCACGTTCTCATCTAGCCAAACTAGAACTCTTTAGGAGCAAGCAGGAAAGTGATAGTGCAGTTTCAAAAGCTGTTTCCAGAAATGCATCTTTGAACCATATTTATTTAAACTCTTTCCACCTTGTTATTTGAAACTTACAGCAACTCCTTATTACTGTAACCTTCTTGATGCCTTTTTAAGTTTCAGAAGATGCCATATATTGCAGAAGAGAAGCGGAGATAGGCACAGATGTACTACTGAAAGACGTTTATAGGAATGGCAACTAAAGGTTCTAATCACTAACAAATGCTTTCTTACAAAAGTGTGTATTCTTAAGTCATAGAACCTCTTGTATTTTTGTTTCTGAGAGTAGAAAACTCAAGTAAGAGTCTAGCTTCAAAACGCTAAGATGAGACAAATATCTAAAAGGGACATGCTGTTCATAAACATGACACAGGTCACCCTAGCTCTTGTGCAACACTTCCACTTCTGCCCCCAAAGCACAACAGGATCACAGAGAAACTTTTAAACTACAGTGAGAAGCAAACTTACCCACCAGGCCTTTGGTTTTGTATTCCTTCCAACAATGCCTCCATCGCCAAGTCCTCTTTGCTGTGGCAACTGGGAAAGACAGAAGAGAGAGAGAAGAAAAATCACTGTGTAAGTTCCAACCTTCCAACTTCAACTTAAGAATGTGAATGAAAACATATGAATCACAATGAGAAAATGCAGCAGACTGCGGAATGTCAAAAATTTATAACCAAATATACTTTACATTAAATGATTATCCTAATTGCTATTGATATTCTCCCTGAATAACTCATTGTATATGCCTAATTCTTAAAATAAAGATGGCAGTAATGTCATCCTACCAGAAAAACACTGACCGAAGAAAAACCTATACACAGAAGGAAGAAATTGGGATCACACATATTAGAGGAAAAGGTAGCCTTTCTTCTTTTTTAAAAACAGATATGTTATTTTAAAAAAGGAAAGGAAAGGCAAAATACACTGAGGTACACTCCCTGGTCCACAATTGGCAAGCTCACTCTGGGGAAGAGAGGCCCATAGCATTTCCTGCAACATCCTTTCTGCTCTCAAAGTCAACCAGAAGGCCCTTCTCCTTCACAGATTTTTCCTATAAATTACACAGGAGTTGAAAATACACATCCTTGTTCCTTACTAAAATTCTTATCACTCAAAGGCAAAAACAAAACAAAACAAAAACAAGTTTATTCATCTCTGCAGCTCCAGAGCCTAGCGTAACATTTCAACATGGCATGTGTTGGATGCTTCTGGAACTCATTTTAATTCCCTCGTTTTACTCAATCTCATGTAAACTGGTCATGACTGAAGGACTACAGAAAGAGTCTAGCAGAAAAAGAGGTACAGAAACAGATCAGACTGACTCACCAGTCACAGCATGAAAAGGACAAGAGAGTAAGAAAGGAAAGGAGATTCTTAAACTCAGAAGTGCCACAACACGCAGCATGGAAACAGCATTGTGCTCTCAACACAAGTCTCCAAAATGTTCAATGTCCCGCCACTCTTCACTCCTAAGAAACTGCTCTCTTCTTGAATTTTGAAATTACAACCTTTGCAGTGACCAAAGACTGCTGTGGAGGTTCTACCTTCTGTTCTTATGCCACATGTAACAATTATATTGGTCAAGAGTACAAACTTTTATTCAACAAATAATTCAGTGTTTTACTAGCACTGCATAAATAATGAAAGACACGCCCTTTTCAAGGAATTAATAGTTCAATACGGAGCAGAAGACTTAACCCAAAATGCTTCCACTGTGATAAATGTGCACAGAGCAGGATGAGAACCAGAAAACAAAACCAATGCCCTTTGCATCATTTTCAAAAGTAATGGCAAGCAGCATTAAGCTATTTATGCACAAGTACAGCAGGAAGATTTTTCTCCTCGTTGGTTTATCCTACATATTTTAACAAAATATAAACCTAAAGAAAAAGATTCTCAAGCTTCATTCCACTTTTTTTTTTTTTTTTTTAATGTATAGGGTCTCACTATGCAGCTCTGAAGCATTGTGTGACCCTCCTGTTTCAGCCTCCCCAGTGCTGGAATTATAGGCACGTACCACCATGCCAGGTCTTGGTGGCCAGATCCCCGGTGTACCCAGGGAGGGGCTGGCAGGGCATGTGTTACCAGGAATGGAACCCAGGTCCTTGTGCTTGCCTAGGCAGATGCTTAGACCACTGAGTTACCTCCACAGCCCACTTTCAGTTGTTTTACAGAACTCTTAAATGTCTCTGACAAGTAACGTGATCTTGAAGACCGTACACGTATACTTATTAAATACTAGGAAAACACTACTCTTAAAAGACAGTGCTACTACAGCTATTCAAAATAACTGCTACTCAAACTATTCTTTGGACTGTGTTAAACAGTAATATATTTAGTAATATATAATATGTTAATACATTTTTGGATGACAGTAGTATTTAATAATTAAGAGTTTTTAACATATGGTAAAAATCATTGAATTCTGCACTGCTCTAACCTGCACTGTACACTCTGTCATTTTCAGTCTTCACAACACTCAAAAAATAAGTACTATGAGGAAACTGAGGCTTGGGGGTTAAATAATTTGAATACACTAATCCATACACTAACGTCCTAGGATTTCAATTTAGGCAGTATGCCTCTCAGGCCCCAACAAATGTGAAATCTTTTTTTATCTTACAAAATTCCAAGTCTTAAAATATATCAGCATCATCTTCTGTTGGTTTCACACTGTTATCTTCAAAAGAAACAAAATTAAACTTAAGCATGACATCATGGCATAACCACCAAGCAGCGTAGCAATAAAACAGCCGAGGTGAGGAAAACTGCCACTTCCGAAATCACAACAACGATCTAAGACCAAGACAAGGACATCCTTCTTTAAAGAAAAGGTGCAGCAGAACCAGCAACATCCTCTGCAGAAAATACACGTGCAAATGTGAAATGTGCTTCTCCAACAATACCCTCACGGAGGGCCGACCAAATAGCTCAGCAGATTAAAGCGCCTGCTTAGGCAGACACAGGACCCAGGAGTTCGATCCCTGGGCCTGTCATGCCAGCCTCACCCCAGGGCATGCTGAGCCAGCAACTGGGACTGGGCATGGTGGCACATGCCTGTGATCCCAGCACTTGGGAGGCTGTAAACAGGAAGATCACTATGAGTCTGATCTACGCAGTGAGACCCTGTAGACCCTATAGACTCTGTCCTAAATAAAAAAAAAAAAAAAAACAGTACTTCACACCTGCTTCAGGGGCCACCTAACACCATCAGTTCTCAATCCTTCAGGTCAGATAATAGCGAAGACTTGTGCTTTCTGCAGACCTCGGTTGCCCGAGTTTCTTATACTGCATCACAGACTGCTTTCCTAACCAACCTGACTCCATGCTACTCTATGCACAGCCTTGCTCCTTTCTTCGTAGTCCACATGATACACAGTCTGTGCCATGTAATACCTGATTATGTAAAGTTCGATACCCTTTTTTCGGAATGTTAAATAAATTTTAACCAATGCTGTATGATAGTCTGCTTCTCCTTGTTACTAATATGAAAACCTAATGTGGTTAAACAGAAGCTGTGCTACTCTACAATGCTACAGTCTCACTCGTGTCTACGGTCTGACTGATTCACTTTCCTTTCAAATGAAGACAGCCTCGAGTCTAGAGTTCAAAGGTTAAATGAAAAACAGGGCTTTTAAATCAAGTCTAGAAATGCAGACAATGCACTTAAACCTTAGGGGAACAAGATACAAAGAGGATGTCCCTTCATAAGCAGATCTTTGGTACTCATCCACTCATTTTAGTACTCACTCACATATCGCACTTTAAGAACTGGAAAGTGCTTTAGCCCTCTGATTTGATCTCACTTTACAGATCAGGAGAAACACTGTTCTGGTTTCCGTCTAGACATCCTCCCAGGGCCTCACGTGCTCAGTGGGGGACTTTCAGGAGCTGACTGGATCACGGGGCCTGATAATCATCAGTCCTTGGATGTGTGTAAAGTCAAATGTGACATTAGGAGGTGGATGTAGTCAAGGGGACAGGTCCCTGGGGTGGCCCAAGGAAGCATCTCCTTCTCCCACTCCTCCCTTCACTCTCTGCTTCTCTGCCACTACTCCAGGAGCAGCCTCTCCTCCACCAAATCCAGGGCCAGGGTGTCCTGCATGGACCGCTATAAACTGCACCAAAATAAACTCTTCCTCCCTACAGACCAGGAGCTGGTATTTTGTCCCAGTGACAAGGAAGTGAGACATACCCAATATCAAAATCCAAATTGAGCACAGGAAGAAAATAAAAATTATGAATAGAATTACATGTAAATTATAATAAAAGAGATATGCCTAACCATCAAGTCTACTTTAAAGGTGGCTAACAAGCCAGAGGTGGTGATGCACACCACAGTTGTTGCACTGTGGGAGGCTCAGGTGGAGGAACATGAATTCAAGCTCAGCCTGGGAAACTTAGAGAAACTGTCTAAAAATATAAAAAAAGAAAGAAAGAAAGAAAAATCCCAACTATTTTAAAACCCAGAGAGAGACCTGTGGTGTTAAGGAGGGGAGAGAAGCAAAAGTAACATGATCAAGATGCAATATGTATTATATACTAATTCTTCAAGATGAACCTAATTATTATGTACCAGAAACATATACAAAAGAACTGAGATGAATATTCTTAGGGAAAGAAAAACATCAGAAGTCACGTTTTTACTAAGAATTATAGCATTACTATGTATTTTCAAATAAATAAGATGCTGACTGTAAAAAGTGAATAAAATAAAATCCAGGAAAAAAGTGAGAAATACTGAAAGAGTCCACAAAAAATACACTTCTACATGGAAAAAAAAGTCATAAATTGAAAGAAAAATGACAACAGTATTTGAAAGTTTTTACCACGAAGAGTTAATTACCCAGACAAATAGTTCATAAAAATTTATGTAAAAAAATCTATAGAAAAAATGGGCAGAAGGCTGGCCAGATAGCTCAGTGGACTAAAGCGCCTGCTTAGGCAGAGCGCAGTAGCCGGGGTTCAATCCCGCAGGGCACGCTGAGAGGGGATTGAGACTAGGTGTGGTAGTGCACACCTGTAATCCCAGCTCTTGGGAGGCTGAAAACAGGAGGATCACTATAAGTCTGATCTAAATAGTGAGACCTTTTAGACCCTGTCCTAAATACATTTTTAAAAAAATAAAAAATAGTTTTAACATATTAAAGTCTGTAAATTCGTGATAATTTTAAAAGGCAAAAACCTTCATGGTTACCTTTGAAGGTTGCTAGGCCACCAACTCATTACTGTAGTCTGAAAATAGAAGAAAAGAATTAAGCATATTTCTTGCCTTTCTTGCAAAAACTGCATTTTAGGGTAGTCAAAAGAAGAGTTCTTCATAAGCGATTCATAAATACTGAAGGAATGCCAAAACTAGCAAATCACTATTCTGCAGTCCCTAATGTAATCACGGATAGAGGCAAACCACGCATTTCCCCATTAAGTGAAGGCTCTTGGGCAACTGCACGTAAGATGCACTGGGACGACTCCACCAGAACCACTGCCCCGTCAGGGCATCACTAACAGAGGCAACTCGAACAGTGTATGTCTCCCCGATAATGAATGCAACAGAGAGCAACTTCCAGAATGTGAAATCTGCACCTATGAAAGTTTCCTGCCCCTCCAATCAAAAACCAAGTTTGAATCTAATCAGTTTCTAGATCACTGTGGTTCAACAAAACTTTCTGTGATTACAGAAATATTTTATACAACACCGCTAAACAACAGCCAACAATCTGTGATGACCGAGCACTTCAAACGTGGCTAATGTAACTGGGGAACCAAACTTTTAATTTTATTTCATTTTAATTAAGTAGCCAGAGCTTTAAAAGTTGATAATACAATTCTAGATCTAACCACTGGCTAAGAAAACATAAAGTGAATAGTGGTACATACTAAAGAATAGCATGTGTTACAATTAACTACACTTAGAATGGCAAGGAAAAATTAGGAAGTGTGAAAACTATAGATGAAAACATTTAAAATGTGTATCAAGTATTTAAATGACAATGGAATGCCCTTCTCTGACAAAACTAACCAAAAAAGGGGGACAGAAGTGAACAATCATTTTGTATCTGAATACGCAAAATAGGATAGATATACAGCTCCATTCTCTTAATTCAATGAATAGAGAGGTTTGTTCTAGTAGTGTTTGAGACAGGGTATCAAGTCTGCATCTTGTACAATGAATAACCACTAAGACAACAATATGCAATGTATTAATTATTGAAAATGTATTAGGAATCAGTTGTGAAACTGTCTCACTGCTATTTGTTTCTCAATAAAAATAGTAAAAAATAAATAAAATATATATCAACCAAATCAAACAACTGTGGGATTTGGGTCTAAACTTGCCGTTATAAAACTTATAGAGGGGCCGGGGAGGTGGCTCAGTGGAATAAGTGCTTCCCTGGCAAGCACAAGGGCCTGAGTTCAATCCCTGGTCCTGCAAAAAAAAAAAACAAAAAACAAAACCTATAGAACTGAGGAAATTTAAACCTTGGCTGAATATTCACATGATGGAATTTTTGTTAATCCATATATGCACAGTAATACCGTGGCTTTGTAAAACTGAAAGCTAGCTCTTGTATGGGGAACATTTAGCTACTACAATAGAATGGACCACTGATGCTGTCACCATCCGCCGCAGCAGAAGTGAGAACACTAAGTGGAGTGTCTTCTACCTCTCAAACACAGGGAATGACATCTGTAAAACTGACATCCGTAAATTATTTGAGCCAGGATCTCCCTCTGCAATTTAGGACAGCCTTAAAATTTACAAGGTAGCCTACTAGATAGGCCTCTAGCCCTAAACTACCCACCCTCCTGCCTCAGACGGCAAACTGCTGGGATTACAAGAGTCCACTACTACAGGCAACACACATTTTACAAGTTTTTTTCCCTGTTTTTTTGTGGCCAGCTCAGCTCACTCTTGGGATGGGCCTGGCACAGCATCTGGTGCTGGTGATGGAACCCCAGTCCCGGAACTTCGCCTAAACTTGCCTAAGCAGGCGCTTTAGACCGCTGAGCCATCTCTCCAGGCCACATTTTACAACTTTTAAAACTGAATCCATGTATCTTTTAAAGGACTGCATGTCTGGATGTTTGTAAATCTCAAGCCCATTTTAGTGTCATAACCTTTTTTTTATACTCATCAACGATAATTGTATAATCAAAGGGCAAGTTCAGAATAAAAATTAGTACTGTATTCCAAATAGGGAAATACATTTATATTACTAAACTACAGCTATTAAGTGTAAATGTAAATATCTGGAGGCAGTGTGTAGGTCCCCGGTTTCCTTACATAAAACTACAGGTGTGGCAGGACAGTAATCTCAACACTGGAGAGGCGTGGTAAGGATCGCTGCTAGTTCAAGGTCAACCTGACCTATATAGTGAGATTCCATCTCTTTAAATAAAATTAAAATTAAAGCCTGGAGTGATGGTGGGCCTATAATCCCAAAACTCTGGGGTTTGAGCAGAAGAGATCACAAGTTCTAGCCCAGGTCTGCTTAAAAAAAAAAAAGCTGGGGATGTATCTCAGTGCAAAGGCCCTGGATTCCAAGCCAAAAAAAAAAAAAAAGATGCAGGTATAGTCTATCAGGAACTGTACAAGTACAGGGCACTGTTCTAACAACAATGCTCTGTTATTAAAGAATTTTTTTTAAAAAATTGTCCTGGGCTGGGGAGATAGTTTGGCAGTCGAAGCGCCTGCCTGGCAAGTGCAATACTGGGGGTTAATCCCCAGTACCACAGGCCTGGCAGGTTCCGAGCACGTGCAGGGCGCAAAACCCAGCAAAGTGGAGCATGCCTTTAATCCCAGCGCTGGGAAGGCTGACAAAGGAGGATCTCTACGAATTCCAGCTGCATAGCCAGACTCTGTACCAAATAAATAAATAAACAAATAATTGGCCTAAGGCATTAGGCATAAGGCTCTGGGGAAACTGCAAATAAATGTACTGTCATTTTACTACAAACGAAAGCTAACCTCCGGCATCAGACTCTACTCTCTTGGTTGTAATAGACAGGAGAAAACCCACACTCTGCACCTTGACTGTCTTTAAATTTCTTCTTAATTAAGGTGTATTAAGAAACTGTCCTTTTAAAAGCCTCCCCTCTACCATTTATTCTGGTATGCATGGAGTCATCAGTAAGTTCAGCACTCCCGGATTTCGGTCCTGCACGACTTTTGCCATTTTTCTTTTCTTTTTTTTTGAATGCTAACAGTAACATCCGCCAACACCTGCCGTAAAGCCTGCGTCTCCAGGAAGCCAGCCCTCCAGCTCCGCGCAGCACCCGGGCGGGAGGGCGCGCCACGGCCCCGCCTCCCCTAGCCAGCCGGGACCCCGCAGCTCCCCGAGCCGGGCTGACCACCTTGCGGGGCGGAGCCGCGCAGCGGGAGGGGCCGTGCCCGCCTTCGCCCCGGAGCGGGACGCCGGCGCGG